GTCTTTAGAGACAGACAGCAGGACTGTGTGAGCCAGAGGTCTCCACACCAAGTCTTTAGAGCTTCTCCAGCTCTGCATGGCAGCTGACTACTTCTATATTCGTTGTTCGTCCAGATTAAAAGCCACAGAAACGTTAGTTGAGAAGAGGGAACTGACTTAACGGCCTTATTTTCACCAACGCTGGACAAACAACTCCATCAGAGGAGTTTTCAGCGAGAGGAGAAAAACTTGTTTTCTTTGTGACCAGGGGTCTGACACACGCACGCTAACGTTACACTATAAAAACTAACTGGATATTGTTGATGATAACAATAAATATTTATTTCATTAGCTATATTATTAGCTATATATTTGCTATATCGTTTGTTGTGTCTTTTTCCTTCTATGGTATAAATAATCGTGAAACCGTGATATTTCCTCTGACAATAATCATGGCATCAAAATATCGTGACGTCAGTAGTTTGAACATTACAACATGTTAGTGTGGTACCTTAGCAACCAAAGTGACAAAGTCCTTGAAAATCTTCAGCTCCTCCCCCTCTAGGGAATTATGGGTAGCCAGTTCAACTCTCAGCAGATAGTGTAGAGATGACTCCAGATCAGCTGAGTACACCGTCGACCTGTGGAGACACACTTGTGTTTACTGACCATCCACTGACCCTGAACCAGACTGAACTGAACCGAGCCGAGCCGCTGACCTGCTGAAGTCTCTCCACGGCTCTGTGCTCTGTCTGTCTGCTGGTGCCCCCATCTGGCCAACACTGGAACTGCTGCCGTCTGACTTCAACCTGCGCTGAACTCCAGGTAACGTCTTCAGCAGAGAGGAGAAGAAGAAACGCAGACGCCTCTCACTAAAAGATGAGAAGAAGAATGAGTCTCCAAAACACACACGGCTTCTTTTGTAAAAAATAAAATAAGATAAATTGACTGTGATCAGCTCCTGCTCTTTCAAAATAAAATACGCTGAATTGACTATGATCAGATCCCCTAACTTCAAAATAAAAGCAGCTGAATTGACTGTAATACTGAAGGAAACTTTAAAACATAAAGATTCTACAGGATGATGACATCATCAGGCATTGATGACACACTAAGCCTGCCATGTCAAATCTTGAGTGTGTGTGTGTGTGTGTGTGTGCACTCACACGTGCAGGTGTGTGTGTGTTCCGTTGGGCTGCAGCAGGTAGATGGAGGGAAAGGTTGTGATCTTCAGAGCGTCCAGCAGGGGGAGATCAGTGCTGAGAGCTCTCTTGACCTCCACACCTGAGAACTGCAGCAGGTCCA